TATATATATATATATAAAGAGGGATTTGTTTATTCTATAAGTAAGTCTATTTATACTTATTTCATTCAATAACTCATATTTTACATTAAAATTTAACGATTCAATCGTTGAATTTAAAATTTTTAATGTATAGATCAAGTTTGTTCAATTTTTAAAAAGTTGAAAATCAGTTTGTTTCATTAATTTAAATTGATGGATAATCATCAAAATATTTTATATATTAATTTGAGTTAATGAAACAAAATATCAAATAAATTTTAAATTTTTAAAAAATTTGTAAACTTGATTTATATATTAAGAACTTTAAATTTAACGGTTAGATGATTAAAATTTGATATAAAATATAAGTTATTGAATGAAATAAGTATCAGAGATTTGATAATATATTTTAAATTTTAAGTTTAAATATTATTGTTACGATGATGTCACTTTGCTTATTTGGTGGTAATCTTTTCCAAGAAAAATCCATGATGTCAAAAGAGTTAATTGAGTAAATATAATGGAATGATATTTTTTTGTTCGTCACTGGAGTATTCATTGCCGATAACAGTGACTAATCTTCTCGATACGTTGGAGACATCTCAAAGGGTGAAATAACGGAATGAATCTACATGTAGTTAAAGTTTGTATAATAATTTATTTAAGGCTTAAATATATTTTTAGTCCCTTAAATTTAAGATAAATTTATTTTTAGTCCCTCAAATTTAAAATTGTTATTTTTAATCCCTATAATTTTTAAAAATATTATTTTAGTCCATTAGGTCACTAATAATATATTTGAAAGTAACTAATTAAGACAATTATGTAATATTAATCGAATTTAATGTGATATTTTCACTAATAGAGACACCAATAGATAGATTTTATGCAATAATGCTTAATAAATTTCTTAATAAAATTTGAATATAATGATTAAAATAAGATTTTTTAAAATTACAAAAATTAAAAATAATAAATTTAAATTTGAGAAATAAAAAATAAATTTATCTTAAATTTTAAAAATTAAAAACATATTTAAACTCTTTTTTAATTTAAATTTTTACTGACAGGTCCAACATATTGTATAGTCTCGAGAGTGTCTTTTCACTATCCCAACTTATGGTATAAAAAAAATATTATTGTTATCGATACACGCTAAAAAAAAAATGCTAACGTATGATTTATACAAATAAAGTAATAAAAAATGCAATAATGAAAATATATATTAGTGATATCTTAATAGAAATTATTTTTATTATTTAACAATATTCTTGATATATATGTTAATATTTGATTGGTTGATGTGTTATTGTTGTACTTGTTATTTTTTGTGATAATTATAATTATTTGTTGTTACATTGTCATTTGTCACTATATTTTATTTTGGTTTTGGGTCAAAAGACTCAAAACTGACAGGGGGATTCTGATTGGTGAACTCGAAAACGTCACTTTCCACCATTTATTTATTATATATTCTGTCCTTCCCACTATACGGGGATTCCTGCCTATAGCTATGATGAATTTTTAAAAAAAAATTAAAATGTACTCATTTTATAAAAATTAAAAATATATTTATACCTATTAAAAATAAAATATATTATTTATTTATAATTCACAATTTTTCATCATCAAATTTTCATTAATTGAAAAATAATATATATAGTCACGAATAATTAATATTATAATGTTAAATTAATAAAATATTAATTTTAATAATTTTTTATAAAATATAAATTTAATCGATTTAATCATTGCATGATTTAATCATTGCATTTGATAATATTACATTCATGATCATGTATATTAAATATTAAATAATTTATATTATTTTATATATGTTATTTGATAATTGATATTTATCTATATTTTAAATATTATTTTATATATTAAAATAAAATGATATGATGAAGTGTCAAATAACTTTAGAATTATATGAAACTTTGTATCTTTAATCTAATTAGTAATATAATTGAACATAACAATTAGATCGGTTAAGTTTGCATTCTATAAAATTTTATTAAAGGTGTCAATAAATTTTGACTCATCTATTTGTATGTGTGTGAGAAAACATATCTGATGAAAATATGTCATAACGTGGCAATGACAACAATGATAATAACAATGACATTAAAATAATGGTAGATATGATTATAGTATTTACAACAATAATGTCATTTGTAGGATTTAGAATGAAGAGAGAAAAATTTAACCTTTTTTTTTTAATAAACCTTTGAGGTTGGACTCAAGAATCCAACCCAAATATCTTCTCTCCATCCATATCTTTTTTTTATTTTATTTTATTTAATAATCCAATTAATTAAATTAATTAATAAGTCTATAATATAATTTTTATTAAAATCACTTATTTTATATATGAAAATTGGGATGTTATATAAATTATATTTAATGTGATGTTTTAATTAACAAGGTCACTATAATAGGTAGATTTAGTATGACAGGTGAAGTATGTGAGTTTTATTTGGCATTTAAGTAAATAAACTAAAATATTTTTTTTTTCAAATTAAAGAACTAAAAAATTATTTTAAATTTAAGAGATATTTTTTTTTACATCATATTTGAATAACTAAAAAATATTTAAAACTTTATTTTATTAAATAAAGTTATTATTATTAATTTTAAACTAAATTAATTTAATATATCTACCAAAATAAATGAAATATAATGTTAAATATTTATAATAAAAAAAACTCATAGTATTTTTATATACAATAACTGCATATATATTATAACTAAAAAATATAAAAATTTAATGTTTGATATGATAACATTAAAAAAGAGAGACATGAATTCTAATTTTCAATCGTCATATTTATGTTACTTTTACGTACCACCAACGTTGCCCATATCATTTTTATTTTGGTGAATATAAACGAAAATTACGTACTCATGACGAGTGTCAAAATTTTCGGCTATTTTGTCTCATGTGTCGGGTATGGGTTTCGTACTCATTATTCAAACCCACAAGTCTGAAGGCAAATCAGCACCAATTTGCCCTTAAGAAATTACACATAAAAGGTGCAAAACTTTCTCTGATTTCGTGTCCCACCTACACTATCTGTTCCCATGGAAAACAATAAATCTTAAATCCATATGATGTGATGATAAACTCTAAGCACACATAATTAAATACTAAACTATAAACCTTAAACTCACTTGAGAAAGTGGCTTCTATTGAATAAGATGGTTAATTGGAATGCATGAAGAATCCAACGATGTTTGTTATTGAAGTTTTCACATAGTATGGGAGGTGCTATTGTGGTAACCATTCTTAGTCCGGAAACAATTGTAATCTTAATTAGGAAATTCACCCTTCATTGGACACACGCGTTTCTATTGTCGTCGACTTGTCTAGCCATGGACAGCCCAAAAGGGATATACAAAATTGGAACCAGCAATGACCACGTGTCACACGTCTATTTTTTTTATTAAACTTTTTTTTTAATTTTTATAAAATTTGTAAAAAAAATATTAAAAAGTAGTAATTTGTAGTTTTGCTTTTTATAAAATGCTTTTGTTTTGTTTTTTTTTATATTTTTAAAATCTAAGGTTATTATTTTAAACTTTAAATAATATTCATTTTAA